CTCGTTGCTTAAACACTTATGTTTGTAGCTCGTAATCCGAGCATGATTTCCATTTATGGATTTGATATTTTCCTCTTATTGCCTTGCTTTGAACTTGCATGCTTGAATGTTTGGATTGCTTTGAGCGAGTCCTTTTATTTTTCTTTTCTTTTTTTTTTTTTTTTTTTTTTTTTTTTTTTTTTTTTTTTTGCTAAGTACAAAGGTTCGGCTTAGAGGTCTCAGCTGAGGCAGTCTGCACTTATTGTGCTTCTTGCCCCCCCAGAGATTTGAAGACTTGATCTTCAGATTTCTAAGATCATTTTTCTTTTCCTTGTTTATTTTCTATCAGTGATGCTATTGCTCTTGATTTTCTGTCTATCTATAAAATGGATATCTAAAACACAGGGCCAACCGAAGGCAGTGTTTCAGATAATGGCTATCTGGGATACAAGGCTCAGTTAAGGCAATATCCCAGATTTGTCCATGGACTCATGGCCTTATAGAACAGGTCTTACGGAGGTTTTCACCTCAGCTGAAAGACCAATATTCTTTAAAAAGGCGAGTTTATCGGCAATCCAAAACTTGATGCTCTGAGGGCGAAGGTTTCGGACGGGGCCGAAGGAAACCCTTAAAGAGTAGATAGAATAAAGAAAAAATGAAAGATTAAAGATTGCATATGTTTATAGAAAATAGTGGCTCGGAGGCCTTTCATTAATAATTCAAAATGTACTTACAAAGATTGTTCTGCCCCGAAGGGTTTACACATGATATTTTTTAAGTACATCCACATTCCAGTGATTTTTCAGTTCAGTTCCATCCAACTGCCGAAGTCGGTATGTTTGCGGCTGAAGCTCATCATAGATTTCATAGGGTCCCTCCCAAGCAGCTGAGAGCTTCGCATGAATTCGGTTTTCTGTACCGCGACAACATTCCGAAGGACGAGGTCTCCAATTTTGAGAGGCCTTGCCTAAACTCTTCGGTTGTAAAATTTGCTGATTCTCTGCTTGTATGCAGCCATTCTGACTCGGGCCGAGTGTCTTACTTCGTCAAGGAAATCAAGAGATTCCTTCATAAGTTGCTCATTCTCGGCCGAGAAGTGGTGCACTCGCAGGCTTTCAGTGCCAATTTCCACTTCGAGAACGGCTTCGGCGCCATACACCAATTCGAAGGGTGAATGGCCCGCTGCCTCTTTTTCGGTTGTCCGAAGGGACTAGAGAGTTCCTGGGAGCTCCTCTAGCCACTTGGACTTTTGATCCTCCACCCTCTTTTTTAGGGCATTCAGAATCTGTTTATTTGCAGCTTCGGCTTGTCCATTACTTTGCGGGTGGCATACCGCTGAATATGTCAGTTTGATGTCGAACTGATCTGTGTACCGCTTCAGCGGCAGATTATCAAATTTCCTTCCATGGTCAAAGACAAATACTTTCAGGATGCCGAAACGAGTGATGATATTCTGCCAGATAAATTTCCTGACAGTTTTCTCTGTAATGTTCGAGGCTGCTTCGGCCTCGACCCATTTACTGAAATACTCGACACCGACTATCAGCCACTTTTTCTGGTATGCGGCATCCGGAAATGGGCCCAGGATATCCAACCCCCATTGGGCAAATGGAAGTGGGCTCAGCACAGGCTGAAGCTCTTGGGCTGGCTGATGGATGAATGGTGCTAATTTTTGACATTTTTTCGCATTTTCTGACCAGCTCCTTAGCGTCTGAGATCATGGTAGGCCAATAGTACCCTGTCCTTAATGCTTTGTGGGCTAGGGTCCTTCCCCCAATGTGGTTTCCACAGATGCCGAGATGGATTTCTCGAAGGATATAATCTGCATCTGTAGGCCCCACGCATTTCAGCAACGGGGCTGAGAAGGACTTCTTCAGAAGTTCCCCGTTGAAGATAATGAATCTTGAACCAGTTCGCTTCAACTTGGAAGCCAAAGTTTTGTCTTCGGGAATTTATCCCCGAAGCTTGAAAGCTAGGATGGGATCCATCCAGCTTGGTTCCTGGTCAACGCAGCACACTTCAGGTGCTTCGTCGACACTTCTTTCTCGGCGCACCTCCACATAAACAGATCGGTTCAGCTTAGTGAGAGTTAAACTAGCAAGTTTGGAGAGTGCATCGGCTTGTGCATTCTGACCCCTTGGGATCAGCCGAACTTCAAAAGTTCTCAGCTTTGCAATAACTGACTTGATCTTGGCAAGATATGATATCATCGAGGGCTCTTTGGCCTCGTAACTGCCACCAATCTGATATGCAACTAGCTGAGAGTCTGTTTTCAGACGAACATGCTCGGCTTCCAGCGAGATGCACAATTCTAGGCCGGCAATGACCACCTCGTATTTGGCTTCATTGTTCGAAGCTTTGAATGAAAATTTTAGTGCATACTCGAAGGACTTGCCTTCAGGAGAGGTTATAACCACCCCTGCCCCCGAACCATTCACGGTGGAGGATCCATCCGTGAAAACGGTCCAGGTTTTCTTTTCATCGTCTAGCGTCTCCTGGTACGAGCATTCGGCCAGGAAGTCCGCCAGAGCTTGAGCCTTTATGGCCGCTCTCGGCTGGTAGCTGATGCTGAACTCTATGAGCTCGAAAGCCCACTTGGCCAGCCTACCAGATTTTTCAACTTTCCCGAGAACCTTTTCCAGCGGCTGATCAGTCAAAACCACTATCTAACGACAATCAAAATAGGGTCTTAACTTCCGAGCAGCTACTACCACTGCATAAGCAACTTTTTAGAGTAAGGGGTAGCGAGTCTCGGCATCCGTCAGAGTGTGGCTGACGAAGTAGATCGACTGCTGAATTTTATTTTCTTCCCTCAGCAGCACTGCACTGATAGTGGCTGGGCTGACAGCCACGTATAAGTACAGAGACCCTCCCTCCACTGGACTAGCCAGTGTTGGAAGTTGAGCTAGATGCTCCCGAAGCTACTTGAAGGCTTCTTTTTTCTCGTCCTCCCAGACGAGATCTTTTGTTTTCGGGAGTTTCAGGGCTTTGAAGAAAGGTAACCCCTTATCCGAGGCCCTGTAAATGAACCTCGAGAGGGCTGCCATTCTTCCGGTGAGCCGCTGAACGTCCCTCTTTGTTTTCGGCTCGGGAAGATCGAGCGCTGCCTGCACCTTAGCGGGATTGGCATCAATCCCTCTTTTGCTGACCATGAACCCAAGGAATTTCCCTGACTTCACGCCGAAGACACACTTCTTCGGATTCAGCTTCATCTGGTGCTTTCTTAGAGTGGCAAAAGTTTCTTCCAGGTCCTTAACATGGTCTTCATCTTTTTTGCTTTTGACGATTGAATCGTCAACGTAGACTTCCATGTTTCGACCCTTTTACTCGGCGAAAACTTGGTCCACCAGCCTTTGATATGTTGCCCCCGCATTTTTCAATCCGAAGGGCATCATTTTGTAATTTTACACCCAGGCGTTCGTGACGAATGCCGTCTTTTCTCGGTTGTCGGGGTGCATGAAGATCTGATGATACCCAGAAAATGTGTCCATGAAACTAAGCAAGGCATGGCCACTTGTCGAGCGACTAGCTGATCGATCCTCGGCAAGGGATAGAAATCCTTCGGACATGCCTTATTTAGGTCCGTGAAGTCAACGCACATTCTCCAGGTGCCATTTGCCTTCTGAATCATCACCACATTGGCCAGCCATTCTGGATACTGACAAGGTTCGATGAAGCCTGCATCCAGCAACTTTTTGACCTCGGCTGCGATGTCTCGGTTCTTATTTGCGGAGTAATTCTGCTTCTTTTGCTTAATTGGCCGACACGTTGGGTCGACGTTAAGCTTATGAGAGATGAGGTCTGGACTTATCCCGGGCATATCAGATGCCGAGAAAGCAAACACATCTCGGTTGTCCCGAAGGAGTTGGATGAGTTCAACACGGACTTTCGGATCAAGATCCAGCATGATTGTAACGCATTTTTTGGTGTCTCCATCGATCAACTCGACCGTTTTGGTCTACCGGTCCAGCTCCATTGCCGTGGGGCTGGACTCTTCGTTTTCTGGCCTGCTGTCTATGTCAGCAGGGGTTCCAGATTTTTTCTTCTTCGGCTAGATCTCTGAGTCTTTCGGCTCAGATGATGAGCTAGCCTTTTCTTTTCCTTGCCCTTTTTCTTTGGCCAGGTCTCCTAGAGCCGAAGCACTTAGGCCTTTCGGCTTCTTCGCGCTCGGCTGCCTATCTTTCTCCTCCTCATCCTCATCATCATCTTTTGTACGACTGGTGGATGGCTTGAGGTAGTTGCACCTTCGGGCCTCCTTTTGGCTGCCCTCGATCCTTTCGGGGTAGCCAGCATCTGAGACATAGATCATCAGCTGGTGGTATGTCGAGACTACCCCTTGGATCTCGTGAATAATGGGTCTCCCCATGATCACGTTGTACACAGAAGGTGCATCGATGACCAAGAATTCGGTCATGACGTTCCTGGCTGCCTCATCACAGCCGATGGTGACAGGAAGTGTTACCTTCCCGTCTGGATAAGTTGAAGCCCCATTAAATCTGGATACTGGGTAGGGTACCGGCGTGAGGTGCTTGGGCTTCAGCTTGATTTGGTTGTAGGCCTTTCGGAACAAAATGTTTGCTCCGCTGCCGCCATCAACAAGAACCTTGTTGACGTCGCGGTTGGCTACCGTGGCGATAATCACCAACGGATCCTCGTGAGGGTATGTCACCCCCCGACAGTCGGCGGATGTGAACGTCATGTTCGGCACCGGCGACTGGGGCGGCTGAATCCTAGCATTGTTCACCTGGTGGGTCAGAGCCCTAAGGTGACGTTTGTGCTCCCTCCGAGAACATATTCCTCTCGAGATAACGTTGATTGGAGGAAATTTTTCCTCCGCATTTTTGCTGTTCTTTCGGGGGAAGTCAAGTTCTTGCCGAGAGTCCTTTTCGGATTTCTCAGCCTCTTTTTTCTCACGGTGATCCGCGATGTATTTTTTCAAATATCCCTTCCGGACCATATCCTCGATTTGTTCCTTCAGCTGGATACATTCCTCAGTGTTGTGTCCCGATGATTCGTGGAACTCACACCACTGATTTTTTATTTTTGCGCTGATACAACTCTGGGAGCGGTCTCGGCTTCCTGTAACTCTGCTCTTCCTTCGTCACGCTGTAAATTTTAGCTCGCGGAAGGGCCAGCGGAGTGTAGGATTCGTATCTCCCCGTGAAGGGAGCAGATTTTTCCTTCTTCGGCTCGTTGGCCGAAGATTGTTCGGAGGCTTTCGCCTTACCCTTCGCCTTCTTGGCTTGGCTTTTGGACGATTGTTTTTGCTTCCCACCCCCGGATTGGGGTTGGGATTTTGTTTTGTTACACTCCTCAGCTCGGATAAATTTATCCGAAGGGTTCAGAGCCTCCTCTAGGGTCTGCGGGGTATGCATGACCATGAAGTCAAGGAATTTTCCAGGCTGAAGGCCATTCTGCATTGCAAAGACAGCCAACCCTTGGTCCAGCTGAGAAACGCTGGATGACTCGTTGCTGAAACGAGTCAGGTAATCCCGGAGACTCTCGGTCTCCCCTTGCTGCAGGCCCATGAGCTCTACAGTGGTCTTCTCTCGGCGGTTTGCCGTGGAGAATTTGCTCTTAAACTTGGTGGACAGGTCCTCCAACCCCGTTATAGAGCCTTCCTTTACTCCCTTGGAGATCCACGCTTACGCGACCCCCTTGAGAGTGGTGGGAAAATACTTGCACCTGGTCGCTTCGGACCTGGGGCAAAGATGCATGTGCCCCTCGTAAGAAGCAATATGGTCCTTCGGATCCTAAGTTCCATCGTATGTAATGTGCGATGGGATTTTAACCGTTGGCACATGCTCTTCCAGAATCCATTGCTCGAATGGAGAACTAGTAGGAAGCATCACGGCCTTACCCTTATTCCTGGCCGAAGGGACCGCGCTCTGCCCTCTTAGAGAGGTAAGAGTGGTTTTCGTCCCTGGCTGGGAAGTTCGGGCCTCGGCTACAGGGAACGAGAGGCGGCTGTGCACACTCAGTTCCCTGCCGCCGAGTCGATCAAGGCGCTTCGGCGAACGGTCTCTGGCCGCTCTCGGCGAGCAGTCTCTGGCTGAGAGGCAGAGCTGCTGCTTTTGTGAGTTTCTGGCCGAGAAGTAGAGGATCCTTTGAAAAAATGAGGGTTCTTTTTTCTCTCTTTTTCAGTCCTCTAGGTGTCCTCTTCCCATTCTTCCAGCTCCTTGAAGGAGGGAGGTTTCTCCCCATCCTGGCCGAGCTTCCTCCGCTGATGCCTTGTATGCGGAGGAGTTCGGTCACGAGGAGGAGGCATGTTCTGAGCCCTCATCGCCTCCATGAGCACCGCCAGCGCTCTCGCCACCTCTTCCGAGCTAGGTCCCGTTAAAGGGGTCCTCGGCTGAGTGTGAGAGTGAGAGTGGATACTCAAGGGTCCGCTTTGAGGCACTGATTGAGTCCTACGATTGGACTGACTCTTGTTAGACCGAGGAGGACTCGGTCTATGATGAGATTGGTGAATTACGGGAGAAAGGGAATCCTCCCGGTATGCTTCTCCCGAACTGGCACCCTTAGAAGAGTTCCGGTCCGGTGAAGGTGATGGTGTAGGAGTTTTAGGCCTTTCACCCGCTCCTTGACTTACTCGCTTGTTCTTGCGATTCTTAGCCATTGCTACTAAGATTTTTGCAAGATGATTTTGATTGGCTTAAAGATATTTTGAAAGTCTTCCCCACAGACGGCGCCAAATTGTTTCGGGTGAAAACAATGGGACCTTGCCGAAGGTCCAATAAAGTGGATGAAGACTAGTCCGGTCCAAAAGATGATGGGCCGAAGGTTTCTTGCACAGCAAGCACACGTAAAACTGGCTTTGGGGGTGGATCCAAGGAAGACTTCTCCGATGCCGAAGTCAAACAGTGTCTAGAGAGAGAAAGCTATGCAAGAGAATTAATGCTTGAGGCTTTAAATGTGAATGAATGATAAATGGTGCAATTGAAGGCTTTTATACCTTAGCTTGACAAGGAGGATGAATGGGCCAGACTTGTCATGGGCTGACCATGACAATTTGGGCCGCTTTGACTTTATGTTGACTTGGCTAAATGGAGGCTTGGGCCTTGACCTTGGAATATAGAATCATTTAGTGACCAGGCCCAATTTGCATAATTGGACCCAAACAGCTACTATAATCTTTGATTCAATATTTCATTTTTGTATTATTTCCGTCCCTAAATATAGTTCACACTTGACTTATTTGGGTCAAATTTTGAAAATTTTGACCATAAATTCCCGTTAATTTATAAGAGATTATATGCTCATTTGGGATCTTGTTGGATTCGTTAGGCTGTATATTTTATTAATATCAAGTTTTTATAATTTTTACGCGTATGAAAATAGAGGTATAGACGTTACAATTTTTAAGACACGTCTTAAAGATTATAAAAAGTCAAACGGGAACTATATTTAGGGGCGAAGGGAGTATTAAATTTGTACCCAAGACTAACTTTTAATTGGGAATTATATACACCTTCACCTTCAATACTTCTTCTCTGAAGTCCTGCCGCTCGCTTTCTTTTTCTCAAATTTCCTTACGCTCTCAATCATTGATGAAATAATTTCTTAGTGAAAATTACTCACGAAAATACGAAATCTCTCTCTAATTTTTGTGGAAATGGATATATAGTTATTATGATGTATATTACTCCGTATATTATAACTCATATATATTTTGAACTCTTCTTGGGTTAGATGAGGGAGTTGTAGAGAGTATTACATCGTTATAATTAAGCTAATAAAAATGTAGAATAAATTCACAAAAAAATTTATTTGTAATGTAATAAGAACATTTTCGCTAGAATTAGCCGTCCCATTATTTCATTCAAGTACAAAATAACTTTGTAAAGGGGTTACTCTTTGACTTGAAGGGGGACCAATCCTTAAAAAAAATTGCACTGTAATTAAAATATTCTCCAAAAAATCCAACATACAATTGTTACGTCTGAAACCCTGATACATGAACCCGAGCAACATGCCTATATTATAGTATTTTATATTCCCTACAAAAGAGTACCGAGTTTAGAATTTTTATTTCTAAATTTTATATTAATCTTATTATCCCAAGGTGATATGATATTAATATATATGCATGATGTGCAATCACGTAGCTGATGAAATAGATAAACTTGATTTATAATATTTTGTAAGAAATTAATTTTATTAGAATTGGAGCATCTAAAGACAATGCGCGTACTAGTTAAGAAAAATCTTTAGATTCATCTCAATATATTGTCTAAAGATTGTTATTATCATGGCATCTAACTATATCCAAGTACATGGTATAGAAATATAATCGACCAATTTCCCAACGCTTTATACTCCACCACGATTATGATTATATTGTAGTTGGCTTGATAGTACAATGATACAAGATTTTTTTTGAAAAATAAATCATAATATACAATTAAGCCATCCGATCCCTTATCTCCAATTCGCGAGATAAGATTTTATTTTTTCCATTTATTCGGGTTACTAACAAGGTAGTTATTTTCATATTCCATTATTGGATTAATATTTTAAACATAGATCAATTCTCTTATGAGCCAAGGCCTAACACACATAGTATAACATAATGTGTTTTTTTTCCCAAGCCAAGTTATATACATGAAACGATTGAAAGAGTTATAGAGTTATAGACATATACTTCATAATGAAAAAACATGAAACCTTCTAATTAAATGTGTGAAATTGGGTCTAACCATACTTGTCATGTGGGACACTCATCAATCGATGGGGATATTCAAATGTGTTGTTTAATTTGAAAGATCACGCTTCAACGAAACGACACTTGATCAATTTCTTATTAGGTCACATTCATGTTTATGTTACGTTAGCGCATTTGCAATACTGCAGTATATTGTTCGTTCTTGATTAATACTTGGATGACACTAATGTTGGTTGGCTTTTGTGGGTATACCCTATTAATAATTCTAACAAAACCTCACTTGTTTGCTACTAATTACAGGAATGAACAACATCCAAGATAAACCCCTTAACTATATTCACATGGAGTACCGAACGCCTATCATCAGATAACCGTTGCTTTTTCTTTGGTTTTTTTTTTTTAAAAATTGTATTTATACACAGAAAGGAAGTGGTTATCTTAGCTAGGCATTCTGTATTAGATTGAATATAGAACGCCTCCAATTTGCGTCTTGTATACTTTATAAGGCACCCTATTTGAAGAGCTCCTATAAGGCGACCTATATTGTCTATTTTATGCGTTCCGTATGATCTATTTTGTGGTAGTGTTGATATAAAAACCTAGTTATGAATGGCTCAAATTATTATTTTATGATTTCATGTATAATGTATGTGTATACTTGTATGTTTTTGCTATGAGGCTATGTTTACCGAGTTTAATCCATGCTCTATGCTCTTATCTGCATCTAGCTCATGGCATGTCTTAGTGTGACATTTCAACATGAGCGATACAAGTAACCCGTAGCATCCCCATGGCTTTGCGCACACCCCTACATAGCCGGGCATTCGCGGTCATTACTGTGTCAGTGTGTCACGGGCCTCACGGTTAACACTAATTTCTTCAACCTACAAAAAAAAAATGTAGCGTTATATATTAACGTTCAACATATTTCACTACACTCTCATCATAATCCTAATAATAAAAACCTTTTGGTTTATGATAGAATATAAAGTCATTATTCGACAAGCTTTTGGTTAATTAGAATAACACGAGTTAATAATTTTATGAAATCTATCATAAATAACTTCTATTCCCTTCGTCCTTTAATACAATGTCTCTTTTTCTTTATTATGGCATTGTATTAAGGGACGGAGGGAATATTTTAAACATTATTTTTAGAATTGCGGAGTTTATAATTAAATAATGAGTAAAGTACAGGTTACTATAGAGCAACTCCAATGGTTGCTTTTAGGTACTAGCTTGTAATTTTAATAATTTTCAAGCTAATAGCCAAACCATTGGAGGATAGTTTAATAATTAGCTTGGCCAAGCTAATGCAAATTAGCGTAGCTAAGCTAATTAGCTTAAAAATTAATTGTCTCTAATAAAATACTAATTATTTAAAAAATAAAGCTAAAAAATCTAAATGCTAATTAGCTTAACCATTGTGGCATAAATTAGCTAGAAGGAAGAATAGCTTTGCAATCCTATGTGGCATGGCAAGCTAATTTGGAGTTGCTTAGAAAAGGAAATAAAATACCCTAACATTAAGAGAGAAGGAGAGACAAAGAAAAAAAAAAGTGCTAACCTGTCTAAAGCAAGAGTTGCACACTAAATTAGAGGGAGTTTAAAACTGGTGAAGGTTTTAAAGGACAGTAATGAAACAAAGTACGTATTAATTAGACATTCTGCCGGAAATATCGCCGGCATATAATTAGCATATGCTCGTATAATTTATGGTTGGATCTTTTTGGGCATCTTTTTAGCATATACTTTAGTCTAACAGTCAACTACATTTGTTTTTTGAGTTTACTTGATTATCATTTACGATATTTACTAGTTAATAATGTTTTAATAATGAATGTTTCCACGATTTGGAACTGT